CCGGGGCCGAGCACGGCGGCCGGGAGCGGGCCCCCTGGGCCCCACGCGCTGCTCCTCCGCGCCTCTCTCATGGAATCTCTGTCTCTATTCCTGCCTAGAGAGCAGCCACAACGCTGGATGAGAAGATCGAAAAAGTGAGACAGAAAAGGAAGATTCAGGTCAGGCAGGTTCTTCTCGTGCTACCCCTTCTGGGGGAGTCCTGTGTGCTTGGCTTTCCCTGAGAGGTTCTGAAAGCTGCCTGAGTCCCAGGGCCCAAACTGCAGCTCAGCGCCTTGACTGGGCTTGCAGACACTCCTGACGGGTTGCTGAGCTGCGTAAAACCCTGGCTTACTTATGCTTAAAGTTTTACAAACTCATGGATTTGTGAATGGGCTCTTAATAAAAGATGAAGTTTCTTTTTTATTCTTTTTAACCCATTCATTTCATATGTCTTCCTAGGAAAAAGAAGCTAAGGAAGCAAAGGTGAAAGAGGAAGATGCAGAGATTGAGGATGATCAAATCAAAGAGAGAGAGAGTGAAGACTTCACTGGGGAGAAGGAAGAGGATGTGGAGTCCCAGAACTCCTTAGATAATGAAATTATCTTCGCTAAATCAGGTATTAGCAATACATAGAGAGGTGGTAAGGAGGAAGTATCTGACAAACTATTGGCTCAATGAAGAAAAGTCTGAAGTTATTGGGAATGTGCAAGAAACTCTTAATTTCTGTTGTTTTGTCCACAGTCCTTTGTGATGCTACTTGTCATCTTAATGAAGTTTATAGTCATAGCACTTGATTCAGAGTTGCTCTTGAGGGAAAATGTTTGCTTGGTGTTTTACTCTGTTGCATGTCTGAGTAGTTTCTCCATTAATAACTCATTAAGAAGCAATAGTACAAGTAGAGAGCAGGAACTACGTCTTGTAAAGGGTTTACCTGTGTTTAGTAAATTACCATTGCTTTTCTCTTTCTGCAGACACTCTCAAAGTGAAAGAAAGGAAGAGACGGAAAAAAGGAGTGGTAGTAAGTGTTGGACAGAACGACACTAGATAATTCCACAGCATTTCATCTGATGTAATTTGACTTTAGTTAACGAACTGCAGGTCATAGAACAGCACAGAAGGCTTTGATCAGCATGTTGGTCTCTATGTTGTTCTATTTATTTGTTTATTTATTTGGTTTTGCTGTTTCTAGGATGCAGAGAACTTTTTTGAAGATGCTTCTCAATATGATGATAAGTTGTCATTCCAGGATATGAATCTTTCACGACCTTTGTTGAAGGTATTTCACCATTTTGCTTACTACATAAGTTACTGTAGGCAGGGTACATTTTTCCCCTCCATCAATCAGGACTGTCAAATTCTTTCTCTCTCTGCAGCCTCTCTGAACAAGAAATGTGAGGTAGAGGATTATAGTTAGCTTTTTAGGAGCTATTATTTTAAAATAATAGAAACTGTTACTTGATCTGCAGTATATGTTAATAGTATCTTGAGGTGTCTTTTATATTAAGAGTTTAACTGTTCTGTGTCTTGTGCAGGCGATCACAGCTCTTGGCTTCAAGCAACCAACCCCAATTCAGAAGGCCTGTATCCCAGTGGGCCTTCTGGGGAAGGATATTTGTGCCTGTGCTGCTACTGGGACAGGTAGGAATGGAGCAGGAGATAGAAAAAAACAGAAAATTAACTATTCATAATGGCTTGGTAATTCTTCATTTTCTTTCATAGGTAAAACGGCTGCCTTCATGCTGCCCGTGCTTGAGCGACTGATATATAAACCTCGTCAGGCTCCAATAACACGAGTGCTGGTTCTAGTGCCCACTCGAGAACTGGGAATTCAGGTGCACTCTGTTACAAAACAGCTGGCACAGTTCAGCAGCATCACAACTTGTCTTGCTGTAGGTGAGTATTAAGTTACTTGGATAAATAGTACACCTTACTGCAAACTGCTACTGCACTTGGAATATTTTAAACTGGAGAAGGTATGGTTATTGCAGATATGCTTTTAGTAGGTGTGCTGTAGCTTCAGTTCTCATTTTCTAATGCTGTGCTATTCTGTTTTTTTCTGATAAAGAATTCTAATTGTGAATGCGGTGTTAATCAGATTTTTTTCCTAGTCTTTGGAGTATTTGGGTCTATGCACTCTACCTTGTGCTCAGAGAGTCAGTGTTCCATGTTCACTCTTTCAGGTGGCTTAGATGTGAAGACTCAGGAAGCAGCTCTGCGTTCTGGGCCAGACATTCTTATTGCCACCCCTGGGCGGCTGATCGATCATCTCCACAACTGCCCCTCTTTCCACCTGAGCAGTATTGAAGTGCTGATTTTGGATGAAGCAGATAGGTAAACTGAACAGAAGGGTAATAATGAATAAAGTGGTAGCTTCCTGCTTTCCTTTCCCCAGATTAAAGGGTAGTGTTTATTGCTGTGAGTAGTGGGTCTTGGCTAGAAACAGTTCAAACTGCCTTGCTGTTTCTTTTGTGTAGGATGCTGGATGAATACTTTGAGGAACAGATGAAGGAAATAATCAGGTTATGTAGCAAACACCGTCAGACAATGCTCTTCTCTGCCACAATGACAGAGGAGGTAAGGCATGCTGCTGGGAAGCATATTCAAGCAGAAAGCTGAATAGAAGGTTGTTTAGCAAATCTCTTAACAGAGACGTTTTTCCATACCTGTTTTGATAGGTGAAAGATTTGGCTTCTGTTTCTCTGAAAAATCCCACACGGATTTTTGTGAACAGCAACACAGACGTCGCCCCTTTCCTGCGGCAGGAATTCGTTCGGATCCGACCCAACCGAGAGGGGGACCGTGAAGCCATTGTATCAGGTGAACAACGAGCATGGCAAAATTGAAATTGGTAGGCGACTATGAAGCCTGCAGCTTAAAGAACTTCCTTTCAGCTCTGCTGACACGAACCTTCCCTGATCACGTGATGCTGTTCACCCAGACCAAGAAGCAAGCTCATCGTATGCATATCCTGCTGGGGCTCATGGGCCTGCGCGTTGGGGAGCTTCACGGGAACCTCTCTCAGGCACAGCGGCTGGAGGCGCTCAGGTATAACCAGAGCTAGTGAGTACTCACAGGGAAAAAAAAGAAGTTAAGTTAAAATTTGGAAGCAAATTGCTACATTCATTATCTCTGTTCAGGCGTTTCAAGGATGAGCAGATTGATATACTGGTAGCTACAGATGTGGCTGCACGAGGACTTGACATTGAAGGTGTCAAAACAGTAAGTATTTGCAGTGCTGATCCTTTTTGCAAGCTTTGGAACCTTGAACGTTGTGGTACTAACACTGTGTTTTTTTCATAGGTAATCAATTTTACCATGCCCAACACCACGAAACACTATGTGCATCGGGTGGGGCGGACAGCAAGAGCTGGCAGGGCTGGTCGATCAGTTTCGCTTGTGGGTGAGGAAGAGCGCAAGATGCTAAAGGATATTGTGAAAAGTGCAAAAACCCCAGTGAAAGCCAGAATTCTTCCACAAGGTATGCGCTCCATTGAGGTGGAAAAGAGGTGGGAGGCAGGGAACATCATGGCACTGATATGCTGGAATAACAGAGATGCTGAATTTCAGGCTAGACATTGTGTAGTCTACTTATATTATTTGTGCTGGATTTCTTCCAGATGTCATACTAAAATTCCGAGAGAAGATTGAGAACCTAGAGAAAGATGTCTATGCAGTTCTGTGCTTGGAGCGCGAGGAGCGTGAAATGCAGCAATCAGAAGCCCAGGTGAGTTGTTGGTTTGGTGGCGTGATTGTGCAAGTGAAGCTTTTGTTTTTTTAAGATGCTGATATGGAGTGCTTAGAAAGATTGCTCTAGTGTATTTAATTACTGTAGAAAGGGAAGAGCAACCATGAACTTTTTACTTGAATCTTCACAGATCAATAAAGCAAAGAAGCAGCTGGAGACAGGAAAACAGGAGGCTACGAGTGAAGGTTTGGAGCGAAGCTGGTTCCAGACCCGTGAGGAGAGGAAAAAAGAGAAATGTGAGTCATGAGGCTGCTAGCCATTTTAAATTCCGTAGTAACTGGATTTTACCTTCTGTTTTAAGATATATATATTTACTCCCCTGTTTTTCTCTTGTTTCCGTGCAGTGGCCAAAGCCCTGCAGGAGTTTGACCTAGCATTACGAGGGAAAAAGAAAAGAAAAAAGTTTATGCAGGACACACACAAAAAAGCACAAATGACAGTAAGTAGATTTATGGACAAATGTGGTGCTGGGGCGGATTGGCCTAGTTCCAACTCAGTAAAAGCTGACATCGCTTTATACTTGCATTTTAACATTTTCTAGCCGGAGGAGCGATCACAGTTTGAAATCTTAAAATCTCAAATGTATGCTGAGCGGCTGGCAAAACGGAACCGCCGTGCAAAGCGGGCGCGAGCCTTGCCGGAAGAGGAACCAGCAGCAGCTCCAGCAGGTAAGGCAGGACTGACTGTTGTATGTCAGTTACTCTATGACAAAGAAGTGAGGTAAACTAATTGTGTAGTGGTAGGTACCACTTGTCTTAAGAATAATTGCTGGCGGCAGCCAGGCCTTTGTTGCAGAGTCATTGTTTTTCCTGCTGGTTACACTGACCACAGTGGTCAGGACTGTTGGCCTCTAATAAACAGGAAAATGCTTTGGCTGCCTCCTTACAGACAAGGTTCTGACTGTTGTCTCTGTTTCACACTAGCCCCCAAGCGGAAGAAAAAGCTGTCTGTGTTTGATGAAGAGCTTACCAACACAAGCAGGAAGGCCCTGAAGCAGTATCGTGCAGGGTAAATATATCTTATTATTAATGGATTTTCTGGGGATACTTTGTTTGATCCTGGGGGGAAGAGAGAATCATATCCTATAGTTATTTCATGGACAGAGCAGAGCATCTTGCAAGAAGTACCTGTAGCATGGTAAAGGCTTTCATCAGCCTTTTCTGATGTCAGAAACATGTCTGGAATAGCAAGGCGCTCCTTTTGACTGAGGTTAGATCAGTATCACACAAATACTGAATCCTAACATAAACATAAAAAAAACCCAGTAGCTACTGTTTATCCCTTTGAATAGTAGGTCAGCTAAGCAATATACTTCAGTGACTTTTATCTTACTGTTCTTTTTTCTTCCTTTTAAAGTCCATCATTCGAGGATCGGAAACGCTTGGGTATGGCCCAACGAAAGAAAGGAGGAAACTTCAAATCTAAGTCCAGGTACACCTCTCAACTTCTTCAGTCAAGAGTTATACCTGCTTTCTCTTTCTTTTCACCCTGCTTGTTTAAAGGGCTGTTGGCTGCTGCGGCAGCTTGTCCTACCGCAACATCAGGTCTGATATTGGGGACAGTTAAGGATCCTGCCTTTGGGAGCATGGTTCTTGGTTTCTGCTTGAGAGGCATTTTCTAGAAAGTGCAGTTGTGTATTTATCAAGCGTGATGGAGTATGATTTATAAACTTTCTCTTTCAGATACAAGAGAAAATAGGAACTCTCTTGCCAAGTGGAAAACAATGCAGATATTCAAGACTGTCTACAGGGGCCTGCCCTTCTTTGTACTCTGAGATGGCAACATCACTGGAAGAGAACAGGCGCCTTTTTTTTTTTTTTTTTTTTAATTCTGGAATAGCTTTGGGCTGTTCATAAATATCTGGTAAAGACTCATCTGTAAAAACTACAGCTTTGGCAACCTGTGCAATAAAGGATTTGGATTTTTTTTTTGTTTTGTTCTATTATTTTATAGCAGCTGTGAGGTAGGATGCATATAATGGTTCTGACTTTGTAAGTTAAGCTCCTGTCTTAAGGATAAAGTTGGAGAATACTGCTTTGCCGCCGTAGGATTATAATCCGTATTAGTTAAGAAGTTCTGAATTGTACAACTCGTTTTCAGCTTTATTTCTGAAATGTAGAGTGGGGAAAAAAATCTGATGCAAATGATCATAGCATCCTTATGGAGGTACTTCTCAATACTATCGGAAGAAAGGATCTTCTCAAAGGGAAGAAAGGCAGGTGGCCTTTTCCTGCCTGAAATGAAAGCAGCTATCCATGATGCAGCAAGAGTTTTAAGACCTCAGCCCCAATCGAGGCTGCTTTACAGTAGCGTGTAAATTAAGGACAAGTTTGTTTATTCAAGGCAACCTGTTCTTAGGAATATATTTGCCAGGATATGATAGTTATGCTTAATATGGGCAGCAGTGTACTCAGCGTGCACTGTGTTCCTAAACTTTAACTTCATTTAAAAAATGTATTAAGTCTGTCTTCACTATCCTTCACTATCTTGGAGATTCTTCTACAGGGTACTTGATAAATTTCATTGATATGCCTTAGTTTCTCTAAAGGGCACAGATCAATAAAGTGGGAGTTTGCTAACTTCTCAGCTGCCTATAAAAAGATCCTTTCCCTGCAACCCTGCCTTTTCATGTAATAGAACTGCAGTATTGAAAAATAACAGTTGCATCTCTGAAACACAGTAACACAGTAGCACAAGCAGGACTTATGTATAAGGTTTTCCAACTTTATTAAAAAGGGCAAGCTTTACAAGCACTAAATAGAAAATATACATAACAAAGTTTCGAGAGGTGGTACTGGTAAGGGAATATACCGAGCAATCTTCTCACAGTTCACAGGTACATTATTGAACATCCTAGGGCCTTGGTGGACGCATGCCAGGTGGAGGGGGTCCTGGGAGTAAAGAAAAATGAGTTGAATAGTTGAATAGCAAATATTCAGCTTAAATATGGAAAAGGACAAAGGTGAACCAGGATTTTTTTTTCCCCTAGTGATGGTGTTGGGACACCAAGACATCTACAGTCAATTACTGCAGCTTGAGAGCCATGGAAGCGTACCGTGCTTCAAGTATATCTTATCCAGGATTATTGCTTCTAATGGATTCTAAAATAATTCCTGCTCACCTCTCATTCCTGGGGGTGGTGGTCTCATGCCCGGTGGAGGCATTCCCATAGGAGCACCACGGCCAGGTGGCATTCCCATTGGTGGGCCCATGGGTGGTCTCATACCTGGAGGAGGTCCCATCATTCCTTAAGAAAGAAAGAACAAGTCTCAAACGGCTACACAGATGGCTGTACCTGTAACAGACCAGACAGCCTTAACTAGGAAGGCATCTGTGTTGGCTAAAAAAACAAAGCCTTGACCAAGCTACTTCCTTTCTGTTCTTTTCAGTTCCTAGATTTTGCATATAAATCTGGCTTCATATCAAAGGCTGAATTTCAGAATAATCCTGGCTTAACAACTCTTCATCAGACTCAGATCACCAGATCAGTTCTTCCATCGCCAGTGCAGCCCTTTGCTGTCCCACTCATGCCAAGTGGCTCCTACCTGGAGGAGGTGCTCCCCTGCTCATGGGTGGTGGAGGACCCCCGCGCCCTGGCGTGTACTGAGTTGGAGCTCCTGCAATGCTGGCAGTGGCTGCTGCAGCAGCAGCTGCAACTGTTCCACGGCCTTGAGGTGTCATCACCTGAGAAAAGAAGGAAAAACAAAATGCTAGTAACTTGTTCACAGAGAAACACTATGTGTGCTTTATGTTATCAACAAACAACTTAAGATCTACTTATTCCTTGAGAAAATGTATTAAGAAGGCACCAGCATCATTATCTAACACTACAAACCTACAACACAATTCCCTAAATATTCCCCAAATACCACTTGAGTTCTGTGCAGGCAGCTGTATTTTTCAAGCCTCCAAGCCTCTTCTTTCAGTACATAAGTTCCAGAGTTCCTTGTGGGAACTTATCGTTAACACCCAGACTCTAAGTTGTTCCATTCCATCAACATCTTGCATCATATTGGCACCAAGAAGCAAAAGCTGCCCCAGAAGATATCACTCAAGTCCTTTTAAATGGGCTGCACCACTCACCTGCTGGGATGGTCCTCCCACTCCTCTCACAGGGCCAGCTAAGCCTGCTGGAGCCTGTGGCATGGGTGCACCAGCTGGTACTCCTCTTCCAGCCGCTCTCCCAACTCCAGGTCCTCCAGCAGCTCCAGCAAGAGGTACCCGGGCAATTCCGGTCTGAAAACAGACAATGCCCCCCACTCAAATAAATGATCAGCAAAGACTCCAGGTCCTGGAGTCCCCTCAGTCCTCCTTTGACCAGTGATTCATAGTGGAAGTTTTCACAGCGGAATTCATTGGATCCAGATTCACAGCAATATCTGGAAGTCTACAACAAGGCTGTAGTAATGGTCTCCTGTAAGGCAGGAAGTTTAACAGACATCCCTTCCCTTCCCTTTGTCTTTAGTACAGCGCTCATTTTCCTTACATCTTTTGGGGGTGGCCCTTCAACTGTCATGGACACCAGGTTTTCCCCTCGTAGCAACACTAGACCAAGAACCCGTTTCTCTTCCCGCTCCGGCTGTTTTGAATTCTTAGGTCTAATGAAGAGAAAAAAAAAATAAATAAAAAAAATAAACACACATATATATATGGCAAGTTGAGTTTCACACTGCTCCTCAATACTCAAATCTGTGATGGAATAGTCTGCAGACTACAGAACTTGCGACAAAAATCACATTTGCATATGCCCCAAACTAAGAACACAGAGGAGTCCAAACACAGGATGTCTGTATTACCTCCATCAGGTTTCTTCCATAACGCTTGGCTAATTGATTAGCACTGCTTAAAAGTATGCTTTGGCTGTTGGACAACAATTGAAACAAAAGCGAAATAGCACTGTGCAAAGAAAAGCGAAATAAGAACAAAACATCCCCCCCTTGATCTCACTGAGTTAAAGACACAAGGTTGAGCCCATCCCTACGCTTCTGAAGAGTCCCTGGGGCCTGGCACAGGACGGGCCTTGGGGTGCCAGGGGGACTGTGGGGAAGAGAACCGCGGCCCTGCTGCTCACTTGATCTTGCGGAACTCATCGCAGTCGCAGAGGATGAGGTTCATGTGCTTGTCGAAGGCCTTGAAAGTGCCGATGAAGACGCGCCCATCCTGCAGGATGCACCGCATGCGGTAGTCGATGTGCTGCAGCATCTTGCTGCTCTTTCCCACCGTCTGGAAGAGAAATACCGTGACGCGGTGCCGCGGGGCTCGCGAGGCGCCCGGGGACGCCCGCACTCACCATGGCTGCGGCTCTCGGCACCC